TCCCCCACCACCACTCCGCATCCACCGGCTGGCTCTGGGATGGGGGAAGGGCAACCAGGCACAGGAGTGTAGGCACAACCTCAGAGTTCAAATGGTCCAGAGGCATCACAGACTCCTTTGTGGATTTTACTGGAAAAATACATTCCCAGGTGTTTGTATGGCCACACACACACACACACACACACACACACAGACCGTGAATGCCTCACAGGCCAGACGGTCCCTGCTCAGTGCCTAGGACACAGTAGGTGCAAAATAATGGTTGGTTAGACTGAAGTCAACTGAGAAGTCAGCATCAGCAGGTGCAAATATCTGGAAGCACAGAGAACTGTGGGAAGGGGTGTGCTGCCAGGGGTTGGGGGAATGACAGGAAAGGGGGGCAGGGCCACATCACAATCCAGGACGGGGAGGGGAGCTTGACTCCCTGGCGCAGGCCCCCTTGCTCCTCCCCTGGGCAGCTTCTGCCCACCTTCCCACCATTCCGCCACTCCTCACTCCGGACAGCAGGGGGCTCCCACCACACATGGATGAGAGGTTCCCAGGTTGCAGTCCCAAGGCCCAGACTGCCTCCCCTGCAGGCATGAGACTCTGCCAGAGCGGAGCCTTGGCCTGGACAGGCTTGGGGGCGGGGGTGAATTTTTTACAGGAGACTTAAAACATTTGGATATATAAAACATCAAAAGTTTAACAATGAGCTACATCAAACAAATCAGAATAAATGAGTAGAGCAATTTGCACTTGTAATCACTACCCTGTTTTGTCTAATATATATCTGCAAGTGTATAATCTAAAATACATAGCTGGGGAAATATAATAAAATAGCTGGGGAGAAAGTAACAGTTGTACTCTTTCTGCTTGAACACCTTGGGTCATAAAATAAATTTCTGCCTATTTTTATTGCCCATTGTCTTACAACTGACCAAATGAGTTGTGGAATTAAACTACTATTTTTTTTTTTAGAAGAACCAGTTATAGCAGTGATGGCGAACCTATGACACACGTGCCAGAGGTGACACGCGAGCTCATTTTTTTGGTTGCTTTTTCTTTGTTAAATGGCATTTAAATATATCAAATAAATATCAAAAATATAAATCTTTGTTTTACTATGGTTGCAAATATCAAAAAATTTCTATATGTGACACGGCACCAGAGTTAAGTTAGGGTTTTTTTTTTGTCACGGCCAAGGCCATCATTCATGGGGCACTAACTAGGACCAGGGCCTCTGCCAACACGCTGCCTCCCAACCTGCTGCCACTCTCCACAGGAGGCACCGCTACCCCCGCTCAGATAAGGGCCCTGAGCTCACGGGGCACGGGGCCCAGCTGGACGAGGGCCTGAGCCAGCGGGAACCACGGCCTTCCAACGTGAGGCCTGGGTGGATTCAGGTGGCCGCACGATCATCTTCCAGAGCGGGGCCCCTCTGACAGTGCTGGATTAGAGAGGACGCCGGGACAACGGGGGTGACCAGGACAGCCACGGGCACCCCAAGACGTGTGGTCACTCTAGGGAATGGACATTTCTACCAGAGCCTGGCAAGGAGGGCGCTGCCTGCCTTCCGGTGCAGGGTTCCAGGCCGGTGCTGGGCTGCGGAGAAACGGATGACTCAGAGTCTGAGGCCCGAGGCAGGGCAGACAGAGGAAGGAGCGAGGAGCTCTCTCCTCGTGGGGGTGTGGAAGGGGCCTGCAGGGAGGGGGCTGGGAGG